AAAACACAAGAACTAAGAACTTAAAGATTTAATATCTATGTAAATAGTGTAACTCTTCCAGTCAATTATACAGCACGAGAAGAACTAAGAACTTAAAGATTTAATATCTATGTAAATAGTGTAACTCTTCCAGTCAATTATACAGCACGAGAAGAACTAAGAACTTAAAGATTTAATATCTATTTAAATAGTGTAACTCTTCCAGTCAATTATAAAACACGAGAACTAAGAACTTAAAGATTTAATATTTATGGATCTATGGAAGGTTGGTTTAAGGATGATAGATCTATGGAAGGTTGGTTTAAGGATGATAGATCTATGAAAGGTTGCCTTCCTCCATCTTAAAACTGACAAAAAGATGGTATTAAAACTTCTGAGGAGCAGCTACACAAACAAGTCACGTCAGAAGCATGCAATGGCCAGCCCTCCAAAAAAAGAGGATGCCAGTAGGTAATGAGAGAGGATGAGCAGGAGAAGAGCACTTCAAGCACTTAGCTTAACGAGCATGCTGGATTTTATATTCAAAGATACTGGGACAGCATTTGTTGATCAGGGTGTGTGCTTACACCTGTGCTTCTTCTGTTCCCTCTGCAACCACTTCATTGCACCTTCAACCCTAACTTACTTTTTCCTGTGACCTGTACTGACAGTTGATTGAACTTTAAAGAGAAATACTGAAAATTCAATGAATGGAACTAAAACATTCAGCCTAATGCATCATTTTTCACATTGCTAATGCAAAACAGCATCATGTATAAACAAAAACCTACTTTTCAAATGCTATCAACTGTTGATGGTGTGATATGTGCCCACCACAGCCAACAAAAGAGGGTGATCGTGAATCATGGTTGATCTCCAAAAACAGTTACTTTGAGAAAGACCGTCACATAAAAAAAGGACACACTGACATATGAACAGTCTACATCTACAGCCATACTTATTATAGACAAGTATTTATACCTCACTCATGACATTAATCTAGCTTCATTGAACTCCATTTATAACAACCTTCTGCTTTCTTCCATCTAGCCAGTTTTTTATCCAATGAGTCAACCTATCTCCCACACCTATAAAGCTAATTGTTTTTACAAGCCTTTTATGTGGCACCTTGTCAAATGCTTTCTGAAAATCCAGTTACACCAAATCCACACCCATACCCTCATCTACATAAGCAGTAACTTCTTCAAAGAAAGTAAAAACATTAGTAAAGCAAGATTTTCCACTTGTGAAACTATGATGACTAGCCGATAAAATCTTAAACTTTGTTAAATTTCTTTGGAAATCACCTTTTCCCACCACTGATGTAAGACTAACTGACTAATAGTAATAATTATTGAGATAATTTTTATTACCTCCCTTGAAAAGAGGAGTAACATTAGCTAACTCCTAATCTTCTGGCACCTGCCCATTATTCAAGAACATGGAAAAAATAATAGCAAGTGGCTGACATATCAAATTTTTAACTTCTTTCAAAACCATCGGGTAAATATTATCTGGCCCAGGTGCTTTATCATTCTTTAAACTTCCCAATTTCTTCTTAACAAGCTCGGAATTAATGCAATCATCTTTGTTCAATATTGTTTTCATCTAGCTACTGTTGAGGATGAGGAATATTGCTTAAATTTTCCTTAGCAAAAACTGAAGAAAAAGTAGATTTTAATAACCCAGCCATCCAATAATCATCAAATCGTTCAAGGGCCCTACTCCCATCCTAACATTCTGCTTACTCTTAATGTATTTGATGAAATTTTTATTATTATCTTTTACATTTTCAGCCAACCTTGTTTTTATATACTTTTTAATTTCCCATTTGAAAAATTCTTTTGATCTTCTATGATCCTCCAAAGTCTTCCACCATTGCAGTAGATTTAAATTTCAAATATTTAAATTATTATAATTTTTTAAAACTTAATACCTTTCTGAGCCAACATATTAGAAATAAGTTTTTTTTCCTTCCACTTCCACAATCTCTACGCTGTCAACCATTTCTTTATTCGAATTTAATGATAAAACTGAATTAATCATGGTCATCACCTAAATAAAAGAAGTTATAATAAAATACTAATAAATAATATCAAATAATTTTTGACAATCATAACACCATACCGTAAATCCAGTCTTGACGATTACATTTCAATTTCCAGCGCCATAGGTCTACTACTCATGTGCCATCTAGAAAAATTACACTATATATATATGTATATACTTTTATTTTTCAAAACCATGGATAGATATTATAGAAACTATATGAGTTGTTTGTAATTAACACATCACGGGTATCGACACCCGGTTTCTAGCGTTGTAAGTCCGCAGACATACTACTGTGCCACTGGAAGGCTTTTTTTATTGTGAACCAGCACCGTAATACAAATAAAACAACGTCAACTATTTACAGTATGTTTGTTTCGTGATTCAACTGAACAAACGATATAATGCTTCAGGATGTTTAAAACTGCAACACAAGTAGCAGAATGGAAATTCTTCTTATATTTTCATTTTTGATTTGTTTCTTTGTTTGTTTTATACCAAATTTAAACCACATTCGACTGTCTGCTATGTCCAACGCTGGAAATCAAACCCCAGATTTTAGTGTTGTAAGTGCGTAAATTTATCACTAACCCACCAGGGAACATTTTTTTTTCAATTTCGAGAAGCAAAGGACACAACCCATTACTCCGATTGAAATAACATTCCACTTGTTTAGGGAACTTTGTAGAAAGAAATGCAAAAGAAATATTACAATAAACTATCAGTTTATTATTGACAAGGCAAACTGTTTTTCTTTCGCTTATAGAGCCATATTAATTGCTAAACGTCGGTGGTTCTAATCATTATAACTTAAGTAAGAATGGTATATTAATTAGCTATATTTTTATTAGGTTACTTTTCAGTTCTAATTTATATTGCTAGCTTGCTTTGATCAGAAGTTAATGACAACACCTGAAAGGGCAAAATGGAATCTCTAGATAGTTCTCATGATGTCTTTATTGAATATTATATTTCGTAGTCTCGAGCCTTTACGTTTATCGAAGCTGAGTTATAAGATGTTTTGGAGTGTACATGTATAATTATAGTTATGAATAAAAACCCTATAACCCGAGCGCTTTCGAAAGGTGGACTTTTCTTCTTCAGGGGCAAACTGAAAAAGTTATGATTCTTCCCCATTGAATTCCGTTAAGGAGCTCATGTAGTAAAGGCTCTCTTAAATATTATTATGCTACCTCATTCCAAGTTTGCCCATGAAGAAGAAAGATCCACTTTTCGTAAGCGCTCGGGTTATATGATTTTTATTCATTTCTATCAAGACTTTTTGAACCTACGTGTTTTTCTAACACCATTAATATGATTCTAGTTATATATTTACTCCACAAGAGGGCGACAAGTTAAAATTTATGGACTAATGGAGGAAATATATTTAACGTGACAGTAAATATGAGTCTTTCGTGGAGTATTTTAAGGAAATTATATAAGCTTCCCAGAACAGTTTTAAAAAGATCAGCCTTTATTTCTTCAGTACGCAAACTGTACATTTATTTATAGGATAGAAAATGTAAACTATAATAATTTAGGTTTAGATATTTACTCATGTTGGTAATACTAATACTCTCATTCTGGATATGCGCGATCGAAACCGGTCGTTGAACATGTGATATTTAACAAACCAGAGCAAATAAACTACTAATGTTAACTTTGTTAATGCTAAGACTATACTGTGAATTTTCTAAAGTAGACTAGTTGCTTCATAGAAAAACTTAGAAGTATAATTATATGATAATTTGTCTACTATACTAGTAATACTGTACCAACAATATAAATTATTACTAATTATTTGTGGATTATGATCCTAGTGTTATCTATAAGAGATACAATGGGAAAAGTTTTATTTTAACTTACTACTATTCAATGTGGTGTGTGTTACAGCTGCATAGCAATCTTCCAGAAATTGGCATATACAAAGTTCCATAAGTGAGGTTTAATCCTTCTTTCCAGATATTGTGTTGTACCTGTTGAAGCTGATGTATGAGAAAATTAAACATCTAATTAATTAATGAATAGTTGTTAAGCAAATATATTTGAATTCATATTGTAGTGTTTTACTTTTAAAGAATCAAGCAAGTGTATATTTACATAATTTAACTGTCAGAGGAGAATTAGCAAGTGTATATTCACATATTTTAACTGATAGAGGAGCATTAGCAAGTGTATGTTCACATATTTTAACTGATAGAAGAGCATTAGTAAGTGTATGTTCACATATTTTAACTGATAGAGGAGCACTAGCAAGTGTATGTTCACATATTTTAACTGATAGAGGAGCATTAGCAAGTGTATGTTCACATATTTTAACTGATAGAGGAGCATTAGTAAGTTTATATTCACATATTTTAATTTGAAGAGAAGAATTAACATGGCAAAACACACTTAAAAGCAGGAATGTATAAAATATTCTCGTAGATTAAAATACAATCTTGTATGTTAGACTGGTCAACATAATTTATTTATAATGCAGATATCAGCTAATCATGAACAAGTTTGAAAAAAAGGCTATTTTTGCTATTTACAATTTCCCTTTGGATTTGGCAGAAACTTGATGTTATCATTTAATTATAATGCACTTATGTCTCTTCATTTTGATTCTAAAGCCACACCCCCAATGATCTTGTATTATGATATTTTTTTGACCAAATTTCATGAGGCATGGGCAAAATTTCTTTTATTCAGAAGTTTTGGTTAATCATATATTTTTTTATACCAAGCTAACCACAAACAGTTCATAGTTAAGTAAGTACATACAGTAGATGTCCAAAATGTTTATCATTGAGCGTTAAAAAAAAGTAAAAAAAAAAAGATATGTTTCATTCTTGATGCCACAATTTTACATTATCCCTTCCCCCACCAGAAACTGAAAATCTTGGAATTAGAGGAGGCCAAATCCATAGAATATGTTTTTTTTGTTGTGGTCTAACCTTAATTTTTTATTGAACAAGTGAGTTTGCAAATTAAGTCAACTTTGAATCATGCAGATAAAATGGAAACAAAATAGTATTGCTAACAGTACAGGTAGTTAGTTGCAACTATTAATTAAATGCTGGAGCATTAAGTTGTATCATTAGTTTGTTGTTAAATTAAAGCAGTATAAGAAAATTTATTATTGATTCAATCTTTTTCTTTTAGTTATGTTAAGAAGGGGAAAAAAAAAAGAGTTGTATTTTATGAATTTTGTACAGAATAACATTTGATTTTGTTTACTTGGTACTCAGTTATCATACATCTAATAATTTAGCAAAATTACAGTTATGGATTTTATGTTGTGATATTAATCCTTAATAGTGTGGTTTTGTTATACACTGAGTAGTTTCTACCATGTTTTTATTTTTTATGCAGACATTACTAAATAAAATATTGTCATAAAGGCATAATTTATTCAATTTTTTTAATTTCAGGATGGATGTGTACGATATAAATATACAGCTCAGTTATGTGTGGATGTACAGAAAGAATTTGATCAAGGCCAGTTAAAGTACAAGAAACATCCAGGAATTAGACAAAGTTATGTTCACCTCCCACAGGAACTACAGATAGCTGCAGAAAAAGTACTGAATGGCTCAGGTAAATTGTGAACTGTACATGTTATATATTTTGTTTAAATAATAGTATGGTTGTGTCTCAGTCAAAAAAATAATGACAAAAATATATATATACGATTATTTTTTATAGTTTATGTGACATTTAATGTTAAAGTTTTGTAATGAAAGCAAAATACAAATTTTGTGTGCAACTAAAAATTATATTGAAGATGTAAAATTATATTGAGTGTAATATGAAAAAGTAAACGTTGACAAAGTGTTCATAAGAGAAAAACACATTTTAATACATCTAAAATGTTTTCTGTTCTTCAGTTTGTTAATCCTTATAAATTCAACAAATTTCATACACCAGACACAAATAATACCTTGAGAAATACATAAATTACTTATACAATAACAGTTAGAGAAGACTTTTTAAACTTGTATATATGCAAGTTCAGATTGAATGAATTCATAAGCATTTTCTTAGTATTAGCTAGTTAAATAATTATTCATTAGAAAGAAGAAATCAAACATTTCATATCCAGTGAAGTTCAGTTGGGTTTAGAGATGATATATATAAATATATTAAATACATATGGTGGAGTTGCTTTACTTTTACACTTGAGATTAGGCTTAGTGTTTATACTTACTTTATTTGCAGTTCAGCTTATCAGGAAGCTATAAAACAGGCTACATACTTATTTTTAAATAAGTATCATGTAAAGAATAGTAATTTGTCATTTTTTATTTTAAAAATAAACTTAATTATGTTACTGAGAAGATGGGAGCTAGTGATATAATAGTATAATGTATTTTTCAAATGTTAGGCTTAACAGTGTTGTCGCAGGTTACTTCTACTTAATGTTGGTTATTTATTCCCAGTCTAGTATGATTAAGAGTGGTATAAGTTTTAACTGATCACATACTTTAAAACAATGTTTCACATTTTACTAGAGTTTATAAAAATACTTTAAAATACTACATAGTGTTCTTGCAACTGTTTAAACAAAGCTTATTTTGAATTACTTTACTTCTGAAGGTGTACATATAAATCACCTTAGACAGGAATCAGTGAATCTTTGGAACCTGCTTTGGTCTCGAAAGATACCTGTTGAGGAATCAGAGTTGCAAGAGAAAGCCTTATTGCTTGAAAAACAGGAATTGGAGAAAGGTAAGAAGGACCTTATCATACAAGACACATGATAACAGCTTTATTGAGGTAATTTTTTCTAAAATATTTTTCTAGTCTTTATAATTGTGTTTCTTGTCAGACTTTTTTTAATATGAATGAAAAACCTAAGTGTTATTGAGAATTGAAAATGTCTTAAACTATAATAACAATATACATGTTAATGCCCATTATTCCTACTTGCTTAAGTTTCTCATAAACTAGTTTGAAATAATTTTACTGTATGATTATATGTCTAGGTCATAGATGAGAGAACCCTTCATATCTAGTTCTCTATCTGTACAGCCAGTACACTTAAACTCAACCATTCCTCTCTGTTAAATATAGTCAGTGCACTTGTACTCAACCATTTTCTCTGTGGTCAGTGTAATTGTACTCAACCCATCTTCTCTCTGTAGTCAGTGTACTTGTACTCAACCCATCTTCTCTCTGTAGTCAGTGTGCTTGTACTCAACCCATCTTCTCTCTGTAGTCAATGTGCTTGTACTCAACCCATCTTCTCTATGTGGTCAGTGTACTTGTACTCAACCCATTTTCTCTGTGGTCAATGTAATTGTACTCAACCCATCTTCTCTCTGTAGTCAATGTACTTGTACTCAACCCATCTTCTCTGTGTGGTCAGGGTACTTGTACTCAACCCATCTTTTCATTTAGTGTATAAATAGTTTTAAAATAAATATTTAAAATGATGATAGGTCTTATGGATTCCATTTAAAATTCTAGGGTTAATGAGGACAATTTGGTATAACAAACTAAATATATTTATTGTAATAGCCCAATACACCACCAGGAAAGCGAAACTTATAATGAATTACATCATCTGTGGCCTCAAGATATCTCACCATGTTGTCCAGTGTAAAAGATCTAGATTAGGCCTAAATCCACACACAACACACTGATTAGGCCTAAATTCCCACACAACACACTGAGCTAGATGTGCAGAATGATCCTCAGGTGTTTAATTATAACTTGAAGATTATTTAAATAGTTTTACTGTCTTTGTGTATTTACAGATTACAGGAAATTGCAAGAAAGCACCACAGAAGAAAAGGAGAAGCTGGAACAGAGCAGGAAGGATAGAGTTCTCTATAGACTCAAGCGAACCATGTATCACTGGAAACCTATAGAGTAAGTTTGTAGTTTCTTCAGAAATTGATTTAAACATGTACACAAAAAAGTTCAAACTTTGTGATTAGAAGTTTTTGCCTCTAATCCTGATTTTAAATATAAATTATTCAAAGACCATGCAGATTATAACTGGCTGTACAGATTTATCTTTTTGACTGTGTAGGTTTTACTTGGCTGGTGTGGCTATCTAATCAACAAGTGGATAGCCATATCAACCAGTTGAAACCTGTACGATCAACACATAGATAGCCACACCGGCCAGTTAAAACCTGAACAATCAACATATGGATAGCCACACCGGCCAGTTAAAACCTGTACAATCAACACATGGATAGCCACATCAAGCAGTTGAAACCTGTACAATCAACACATGGATAGCCACACCAGTTGAAACCTGTACATTCAACACATGAATAGCCACATCAACCAGTTGAAACCTGTACAATCAACACATGGATAGCCACACCAGTCAGTTGAAACCTGTACAGTCAACATATGGATAGCCACATCAACCAGTTGAAACCTGTACAGTCAACACATGGATAGCCACACCAGTTGAAACCTGTACATTCAACACATGGATAGCCACACCGGCCAGTTGAAACCTGTACAATCAACACCTGGGTAGCCACATCAACCAGTTGAAACCTGTACAGTCAACACATGGATAGCCACATCAACCAGTTGAAACCTGTACAGTCAACACATGGGTAGCCACACCAGTTGAAACCTGTACAGTCAACACATGGGTAGCCACACCAGTTGAAACCTGTACAATCAACACATGGATAGCCACACCAGTTGAAACCTGTACAGTCAACACATGGATAGCCACATCAACCAGTTGAAACCTGTACAGTCAACACATGGATAGCCACATCAACCAGTTGAAACCTGTACAATCAACACATGGGTAGCCAACTACATTCCATAATCTCCACTTGAAGCTCCTTCTATGAACTATAAAAGATATGTTGTATTGTCATCAGCATAATTTATATAATTTACAAAGTTCCTTTTATTTAATAGTGGCTTTGTTTGTCAATGTGTCACTGACAACAAATAAATAATGGCTTTGTTTGTCAATGTGTCACTGACAACAAATAAATAGTGGCTTTCTTTGTTAATGTGTCACTGACAACAAATAAATAGTGACTTTGTTTGTCAATGTGTCACTGACAACAAATAAATAGTGGCTTTGTTTGTCAATGTGTCACTGACAACAAATAAGTAGTGGCTTTGTTTGGCAATGTGTCACTGACAACAAATAAATAGTGGCTTTCTTTGTCAATGTGTCACTGACAACAAATAAATAGTGGCTTTCTTTGTCAATGTGTCACTAACAACAAATAAATAGTGGCTTTCTTTGTTAATGTGTCACTGACAACAAATAAATAGTGGCTTTTTTTGTTAATGTGTCACTGACAACAAGAAAAAGTGGCTTTCTTTGTTAATGTGTCACTGAGAACAAGAAAAAAGTTGTGTATAATGTAGATGCGACTTGTTTGTGTATAAAAAGTTGTGTATAATGTAGATGCGACTTGTTTGTGTTTAAAAAGTTGTGTATAATGTAGATGCAACTTGTTTGTGTATAAAAAGTTGTGTATAATGTAGATGCGACTTGTTTGTGTATAAAAAGTTGTGTATAATGTAGATGCGACTTGTTTGTGTATAAAAAGTTGTGTATAATGTAGCAGAGGAGATGCGACTTGTTTGAAAACATCCATATTCATGCTAGAAATGTTTTAAGTCTGTCATTATTTATATTTTCATATACAAACATGAATTTTAAGTATAATTTGGAGGGTTTTGAATAAAATAACATTGTTCTTTGCAGTTATAGTTATCATCAAGGGTTACTCTACTTGGCTGGACGTTTAGCACCTGATTACGCATCACTCACGCAGATATTTTCAGAGGTTTGATGTTTCTGCTTTTTTTTTTAAATATTTAATTTTACATTTTTCTTCACTCATCAGTTACTGAGTTCTTCTAACTAAGATGGATATTGGAACGTTTCATGTTAAATCATAAGGTATTAGTTTAAAATCTTGTGTATTTTCATGATTACGACCTTTAAGAATTGAGTTATTTAATAATCACAGTCTCTGATCATAGTATGTCCAAAGAGGAAAGCTTAGGTTTTTTGAAGTAAGAATAAATTTCTCATTTCGTTTATGGAAAAGAATTTTTTAATATCAACCGCAGAAAATCATTGAAAATGAAGAAACATCAAGTGTTCAGTATTACTGGTGTTTTAGGTTTCACGTTTAGGCATTCTTTTTGTAACGATCTTTGCTGATAAAACTTTATAAAATATGATTCCACATTTAGTATTGATACTAATGTAAAACACTTTATTTTATAGTAATACATGTATTAGACAATCACATATTAATATAAGGTTCTTCTGATATTGTAGTAAAGTTTGAGTGATTTTATACAAAACTGTTGTTATTCTAAAAAATGTTGATGTGCAAAATAAAATGGTTTAAAAAGTGTTCTAAATTTTGAAAATGTTTGTAGTTGAAATATGTAACTATGGGAAACTTAACACGACCATTTGGAGTTAGTTCATCTCAGGATTGTTCTGGACAAGTGGTCATTAAAATAAAAAAAAGAGATATGTAGAATTAAAGAATAAAAGTGCAAACATACACACAGTATTTTGATCAGTTAATTCTTCATATTTCTACTTTCCCATTTTTTGATTTTCAGTTATACTTTTAATAATTCTTTAATCTACAAGACTTACAACAGATTCTGTATTTTTAACACAGTGTTATATCTTATACTTGTATTTTCTCAAGTACGAATGCTGTTTTCTGTTCCCTTTCAAATACATGTAACCCACATAACTTCTGTTTATTCAGGATTGTTGTTTTTTTTCTACAGGCTTACACTCACACCTTTAGTTACAGCTACACACTTTAAAGGTTTACACTCACACCTTTAGCTACCTTTAGCTATAGCTACACACTTTACAGGCTTACACTCACACCTTTAGTTACAGCTACACTTTACAGGCTTACCATATAGTAGAACCAACTCCAGAACCAAAATCAAAAAGACTTTTTGGTTTGAATTCAGGATCTTGTTTTTGAATCTAAAGCACCAAAAAGAGAAGAAGGCTTACGTTAAGCATTCAGAATAAATAGAAGTCATTATAAAGTAAGTACTGCAGACTCTTAAGTTAACACAGAACAACAGGACAAGTTGATTCCTTACAGAAGTATTTTAAATGATACGTGTGTAGCTGTAGCTAAATGTGTGAGTGTAAACCTTTAAAGTGTGTAGCTATAGCTAAAGGTGTGAGTGTAAACCTGTAAAGTGTGTAGCTGTAGCTAAAGGTGTGAGTGTAAACCTTTAAAGTGTGTAGCTGTAACTAAATGTGTGAGTGTAAACCTTTAAAGTGTGTAGCTATAGCTAAAGGTGTGAGTGTAAACCTTTAAA